TACAAGGGTATTCATAGTCTAAAAGTTGGTGGATCACTGATATACAAGGGTATTCACATTCTAAAAGTTGGTGGATCACTGACATACAAGGGTATTCATAGTCTAAAAGTTGGTGGATCACTGATATACAAGGGTATTCACATTCTAAAAGTTGGTGGATCACTGACATACAAGGGTATTCACATTCTAAAAGTTAGTGGATCACTGATATACAAGGGTATTCACATTCTAAAAGTTGGTGGATCACTGATATACAAGGGTATTCACAGTCTAAAAGTTGGTGGATCACTGATATACAAGGGTATTCACAGTCTAAAAGTTGGTGGATCACTGATATACAAGGGTATTCACACTCTAAAAGTTGGTGGATCACTGATATACAAGGGTATTCATAGTCTAAAAGTTGGTGGATCACTGATATACAAGGGTATTCATAGTCTAAAAGTTGGTGGATCACTGATATACAAGGGTATTCATAGTCTAAAAGTTGGTGGATCACTGATATACAAGGGTATTCATTGTCTAACGGCTAGAGAGACTTTGATGTACAAGGGTATATATATACGGTCATTAGACTAAGCGGTGGACCACTGATGTACTTGAATATACACACATTAACGATTGGACCATATATATACAAGGGTATCCACACAATAACGATTGGACCATATATATACAAGGGTATCCACACATTAACGATTGGACAACATATATATATACAAGGGTATCCACAGATTAACGATTGGACTATATATATACAAAGGGGCACACAGATTAACGATTGAACTGGTGGATCATCTCAACTCAAAGTTTCTTGGTTTTTAGAAGAAAAAAATCACCTCAACAACATGTAGAGAATAACACAGAAAAATACGAAAAAACAAACATTGGTCATGAATAATAGCTTGAATATAAAATTACCTGGACAAAAACACCACCACAAACCATATAAGATAACCTGGACAAAAACACCACCACAAACAATACAAGAGAACATGGACAAAAACACCACCACAAACCATAGAAGATAACCTGGACAAAAAGAACACCACAAACCATACAAAAGAACCTGGACAAAAACAACACCACAAACCATACAAGAGAACCTGGACAAAAACAACACCACAAACCATATAAGATAACCTGGACAAAAACAACACCACAAACCATACAAGATAACCTGGACAAAAACACCACCACAAACCATACAAGATAACCTGGACAAAAACAACACCACAAAACATACAAGAGAACCTGGACAAAAACACCACCACAAACCATATAATATAAGATAACCTAGACAAAAACACCACAAACCATACAAGATAACCTGGACAAAAACACCACCACACACCATAAAATATAAGATAACCTAGACAAAAACACCACCACAAACCATATAATATAAGATAACCTGGACAAAAACAACACCACAAACCATACAAGATAACCTGGATAAAAACACCACCACGAATCATAGAAGATAACCTGGACAAAAACACCACCACAAACCATACAAGATAACCTGGACAAAAACACCACCACAAACCATATGTGATAACCTGAGAAAAACACCACCAACACCACAAACCGTATTAGATAACCTGAGAAAAACACCACCAACAGCACAAACAATATGTGATAACCTGACAAAAACACACAAATCATATGTAATGAACTAACACCCACAAGTCATGTAGAACAAGGTGAAAAATCCCCACCGCTGACCATTACAGGATAACCCTGAAAATAATCGCAACCACATATCATGTCTTATAACGTTTTTATTGCTTTTAAATTAGAAAAAATAACTCAAATAAAAAGAAAAACCACACATAATAGATTTTTTTGGCCTAAACGGTTTTCTAGGTTTCAGACATATCCGACCTTATTGTTTGAGATACTGACTAGATGAACGCAGCCGAGCAGCTAAACCTGCCGCCACAAAGATATTGTCCGATTATTTGAACATTGATATTTACAGCTTCTGGAAGTTTTCTCTTACTTCTTTTAAATCGATTTTGGGAACCCCTGGAAGTTACCCCAAACTATTCTCTCCCTCCCCCCCCCAAAAAAAGAAAAAGAAATATATATATATATATGTGTGTGTTTATAAAGAACCGCGTAAACTACAGGACAGTTCTTTCAATTACAAAAGGTTCTGTTAGCGAATTAATTTTGTTTTTCGGAAAAATATAACACGCCTTCAGAGGAATTATTTCCGATTTAAGGAAGGGGTTAACATTAAGCACCCAATGAAAAAAACTCATTAAGAAAATGTGTTGGGAAGTTGGAAGAGGGGAGTAACATGTTTTCTTATTCCTTCAATGTAAACAATGTTAATAGTTTCGTTTTAATTATTCTGGCTTAATTATGGAAGTCAGTAGGTATGTAAATATATAGGCATTTTATATCGTAAATATCATGTAAATATCTGAAGTTTTATATCTAATTTAAGGCAATTAATATAACACGTGCCACCACAAACATATTTAGTTGTCTATTCATACCAGTAGATGACGCCACGGTTTCTCATTAAAAATTTACATCTCAGTCGCTCAGCCTATAGGAAATATGACGAAAACATTTCTGATAAAAAATCGCCCCCCAGTGGCACAGCGGACTTACAACGCTAAAATCCGGGTTTCGATACCCGTGGTGGGCAGAGCACGGATAGCCCATTGTGTAGCTTTGTGCTTAATTACAAACAAAATAAAAACCTTCTTGTAGACATAGAAAAGAAGGTATTTTCAAGATTTTTTTACCCATAATTCCATTGAAATTTGGGCATTAGGGTCTACATCGTGTTACCATTTGGTCGGTGTTCACGTACACACACACACACACACACACACACACTTAAAAAAAAGGGTTGTTTTCAGCATTAAATCCTACGCTGTTAATTTGGAGCGTTAATTAGTTTTATTAATTAGTAGATTTAATAAAAAATTAGGTTTAATGTATTTTTATACCATTCAAACTGCAAAATGTTTGTGTAAAATTACAGGTATATCGTTCATCTTCCGTTTAATGATTTCTGTCAAACGCGAACTGCATAATGTGTAGACATCTACAGTACTAACTCTCCTTTAAAACCGAAATCGTTAGTTCGGTTCAGAACGAAACGTATTGTATACCTATTCAAGAAGACACAAAATAAAAATGGTTTTCCTTATATTGTGACAATGTGTTGCAGATGTCAACACATGAACGTGACTCGTGAATGTTTAGTATGCTAGAAATACTCTGGAATGTACGTCTTAGTTACGTATATATTAATGTATATATTAGGCCTGGCATGGCCAGGTGGTTAGGGAGCTCGAATCGCAATCTGAGGGTCGCGGGTTCGAATCCTCGTCCCACCAAACATGCTCGCTCTTTCAGCCGTGGGGGCGTTATTATGTGACGGTCACTCCCAATATTCGTTGATAAAAGAGTAGACCAAGAATTGGAGGTGGGTGGTGATGACTTTCACTGCTATATTAGGGACGGCTAGCGCACCTAGCCCTCGTGTAGCTTTGCGCGAAATTCCAAACAAACCAAACGTATATATATATTAAAATACGTCTGTGTGTTATCCTAAGCTGTAAAACTCATGTTTGACCTTTAGTTTCAAAAACTAACAAAACATATGGACACGTTTAGTTCCTTCTGAGTTTGGCCATCCATCTTTACCAGCGATTAACCCAAGGTAGTTATCAAGTTATTGATATTTTTACTAGTTACATCATCTTCACGAGATGTTAAAGGATACTTCCAGCACGTGTTTCGTCACGTTTCTCTCAAAGTTTGACCACGTAACTAGAATATAAAAATTGCTTTACCTTGTTTTCCTCGGCCGTCGCGACACACGTGACGTCATCGGGAGCATCTGTCGAGTTGGTTTTCAGGGCGTGAGGTTGCAGTCGTAATAACGGAGCTGAAGAAGATTTAAAATTCATTTCACGAAGGAAGAGTTTAACCCGTGGCGAAGTATAATCTCGTTTGTTCGCTTCGGATTGCGTTCGTTTCGTTGTCCGCTCTGACTGATAACCGTTGCTATAAGTTTTCCCGGTAAGTTTGGGTAATGTTTGGACACAAGAGGAAGGCCGAATTTCTACAATATCTGTGTATTTTGTCGTTCCATGCGAGCTTGTCTTATAACATTCATTACTATCATCAATAGTTCTGACTGTTTTGGACTGAACTTCCGAACCAGAATGTATTTTACGAGGAAATACGAACGTATGATGAATCTTAGAATGAAGCACACAAAGTTCGTCTTTCTTAGCAACTGCTGGTCCGCTAGTGGACTGGTCAGTAAAGTTTTGTTCCTTTGCAGCTGCTGGACCGGTAGTGGACTGGTCAGAGGTAAAGTTTTGTTCCTCTGCAACTGCTGGTCCGCTAGTGGACTGGTCAGTGAGGTTTTGTTCCTCTGCAGCAGCTGGTCCGGTAGTGGAC